TGCAGGTCATCGAGTGAGGAGCCGGGGCCCCGGCGCCCCACGAGCCCGAAGCGCGCGAGGCCACAGCCACACGCGCCCCCGGCCAGGCGGCCCGGCGCCGGGGGGGGGGGGGGGGGGGGGGGCCAGGAAGAGCGCAAGTAATGAGGCGCGGGAAGCCGGGCCGCGATCTGCTGCCAACGATACAGTCGTCGGGCGGGCGGGGCGAAATGGCGGCGCGCGGCTTTCCGTCGGGGTGGGGGATAAATAGCCGTGTGGAGTGGCCACTTGACAAGTGGATATCGTATAGTGGTTAGTATAAGTGGTTGTGGCCCACTCGGCCCCAGTTCGATTCTGGGTATCCACACATTTATTTTTCCCCCGCTTCGTGGGACGTGCCGGCCCGGGGCGCGACACACACACATATATACGCACACGTCCAGAGCCAGCGGGGGGGGGGGAACGTGCCAATATAAAGTGCGGTTTTTTTTTTGCGCATCTTGGCGTTGGGTTTCAGGCCGGCGCGCCCGCGACCGGGAGGGGGGGGGGGCGGCGGTGTTCCTGTGGCATACACGGTCTGTGTCCCGCTCTCTCCGGCGGCCCGTGTGGGGGCCGGGGAGCCCGGGGTGTTGCCGGTGCTCGTGCCGGAGAATGCCCTCCAGCCCTGGGCGGGGAGAGCAGGGGCGCGGCTCGGGGTAGGCGCGCTCCCCGTGCCGCGCCGCGCGCCCCCCCCCCCAGGGGGGGGCAGAGAGGGGCCGACCGCCCCCGACAACATTCCGGCCGCCGAGCTGAACCCTGCCCCTTTTCTAACCCTCGGGACGGGCGCCTGCCGCCGGGCTCTTTGCTCTCTTTCTCTGCGCCCCGCGCCGCCCCGTGCACCGCCGCCGTGCGTGATCGAGTATCGCACAGCGCCCTGTCTCGCTGTCTCTCCGTCTCGCTCGCCTTCCTCCCCCGGGCTCCGTGCCTTTCGCCCGCTCGCCGGCCTGCGCCGCTGGCCAGGGCGCCCCCGTGCCGGGGAGACTGGCAGGGACCCGTGGGGTAGGCCGTGCTGTGGCGACCCGGGGGAATGGAATGGCGCGCGCGGGGGCGCGGGCGCGGCCGCCCGCGGCCGGGGGGGGGGGCAGGGCAGGGCAGGGCGGCGGCCCCGGGCGCGGGTCTGATGTCTGGCTGCCCTGCTACGGCCGGGGGCGGCTTCCATGGGCATGCGCGGATGGTCCCCGGACGCGAGTACGCCGGCCCGCCAGAGACGCGCTTTATGGGGGCAGGCGGGCGGGCAGGGGGGGGG